CATTTTAGCATCTTTTATCATAAAATTCATAATTTTTAACTTTCCGTTATTTTTTTCCAAAGTCATTTCTTTCAAAAATTTAAAATTTCTCAAAAATCTAATTTTTTCAAAGTTCAAAAAAAAATTTAATCTTTTTTGGTACGGTTCCAGCAATTGTCTTAAGGCACGATGCCATGCACCATTAGTCACTACTAAATTAATGCATAAGATGTATGAAATAAGAAAGGGAATGATTATAAGTAATGAAGCAAATTAATTCCAATTTAAATTAAATGTGTCATGATTTTATATACATAAACAACAACATGTATCAATTATATCGATGTCTAATAACGTAATCGTTGCATTACAAAGTATTGAATTTTAGTTAATTCTGCCTAATTAGTGAAACCAAATCATATCAAAACAATATTAAAAGCGTTGTAAGCACAGCCTTAAACTTGAACAAAGAAATTATTTATGGAAAAGCTCTCCAAGTAACTTTCGAAGCATAATTCCATTTAGCAAATTTTAATCTAGTAAAAATACATTCAATGTTGCATTAATAAATGTCCTCTTTGTCCTCAGTCTACAAGCTATAATTAAAAACAAAATAGTTTTAAATAAAACTTTTCATTCTTTGTAACTAATAAATACAAATAATTTACTTTTCTTGTTGATTCTTAGAGACAAAAACAAATACATAGCAAAATATACAATACATAGCTTATTATCTCCTTCCATGTTAAAAAAAATCAATATACAATAATATAATTTTTTGTTATTATACAATATAACTATTATTATAGAACAAGAGCTCCTAATTACAATTTGACCAAACAAATCTATAATGAAATATTACATATAATATTAGTCTTAAACCGAATTCCAATATATTTATTTTTGCTTAAACTGCTGTTGTATATGACAAGATTAGTTTTAAGAAGAATAAAAACAAAGGTTACTCAAATTCATTTTTTTTTTTCTCTACTACATAATATTTGAACCAAAATATGTAACACATCCAGTTTC